ATTGCGAATATTATTGTTGCTTGTTCATCATTGTGTCAGTGTTTTATTCGCAAGAACAACATAGTGACGAAACGCGCTCTGTAGAGCAGTTTGTCCGTTTAGGGCTACTGTAGAAACATGGTGGCGACTTCCATGTAAGGGGACCCGCCGTGTATGTAGATGGAAATTGTTAATTCTAAGGTAATACAAATATAACGGTTCATATGTAAGGTCTTTATACACCTCTGAAAACATAGTTATGTATATTATATTGCATTTCTGTCAATAGATCGTTCTAAATATTACACATTGCGCCTTTAAAAACTATGTGATTCTCTCAAGCGAGGTAACAACAACTACGCTGTTCGTGAAGAAAATAAACTTAAAGTTTCACTATTTGAGACATTGCTGCCGAACACTTTTGAGAGACGCACAGACTCACAGAGGTAATCTCTCTCTCTCTCTCTCTCTCTCGCTCTTTCTCTCTATCATAACTTAATACAGTAACTACATTAGTCTGATATTGTTGCCCCCTTGGACAATAACGAGGACAACGCCTTTAAAAACTATGTGATCTTCACAAGCGAGGTAACAACAACTACGCTGTTCGTGAAGAAAATAAACTTAAAGTTTCACTATTTGAGACATTGCTGCCGAACACTTTTGAGAGACGCACAGACTCACAGAGGTAATCTCTCTCGCTCTCGCTCTCTCTATCATAACCTAATACAGTAACTACATTAGTCTGATATTGTTGCCCCCTTGGACAATAACGAGGACAACCTTTGCTTTTCATGTAGGTCATTACAATATCAACGGCTCAAGTCTCCGTTACTATGTCTAAAATGACGTTTTGGAATTAGCAACGGAGGCGTTGGATGAGATGTGGAAGAAATCCTACTCACAATAGGGTTTTAAGTAGAAAAACCGGACAAATGACTTGAAATACAATCTGTTCGATGTCATGAGGTGTGGCATCCGTAGGCTAGTATAAACGGAATAATTGATTTAGGATTGGTCTGTTGAATTCTTAGAAAATAGTGCACACCAATGTCCCGTTGTCAATTATTCCTTACTTAAAAGTGTCCCTATATTGTATTTGTAACACTTAAGTCTGAATTCTGTGTGTATTAGAAAACAAGATACCAATTTGTTTCAAGTTGTAATTTTTATTTAAAAATCCACCAAAATCATACCTCACCTTTGAAAATTTAAGATCAATTTTAAATCACAATAGTGTTGGAGATTATTTATCCGAAGATGGCTATTGTTCAGATACAGCAAAAGCATATTTGAAATGCTGATTTGGACATGTTTTCAGAAATATGGTACAATTTATCATTTATCAAATGGCTTCCACTGACAATGAATGAGGGGAGGGTCCATTTTAAAGACAAGCAGGAACTACTCAAAACAGACTGTTACTAATCAAATCCACCTCAATTTTTCAAGACGTTTTTAAGAGGTCCTGACATTTTCCACTAGGGGTCAGTATAGTAACTGGTCTGTCAACTTTGTGGATTTTTCTCCTCTACAAAGGCAGGATTGCACATTTCCCAATTCTGCACTGAAAATTGTTCCTGCTTAGACTCCAGTGCTGATGATAGATGGCAGTAACGGATGCGATTGCCTCTTGCAAGATTTAGTTTTGCCATACTGTAGTCTTTCTTGGACAGTACTTTTGAATGTTTGTCTTTCCGTAAGGCGTCTGCAAAAGGAACTTTGTCCTTTGGGTCATCCTCAGTGAGCTTTTCATTTCTCCTAATATTTTTTCTTGAGTCCTGGGTCATCAGAGGCCTAGATGTTCCATTGCCCATATTGTGAAATGTGATGCTCTGAAAAAAAAGAAAAGAAAAACAAAAACAATAAAAGGATTAGAGTTCTTGCACAGTAATTATAAAATATGAACATACATAAACCATACTCATTACATGCAAAAATAAATAAGCAAAAGTATTCACTGACTTTACCTGAGATGATTATGAATGGATGTCTCATTTGGTTTGCAATCGGTTTTTGGATTTAAATAGTGCTGAGTACCCCATACTAAACTTCCTGTTTCAGCTCTGAGTGAGTGATGTAAACAGCTTTGTGTTAGTGGTTTCTGTTATCTGATTGGATTGTGGAAATTAAATGAAGAATAGGATTACAGAGCACAATGGATCCTCTGATCTATCAGCTGGTCAGTGATGAAGCATTATACTCACAACCATTGATGGCAGCTATTTGAACTGCCATTGATTCAATGAGCTCTGTTTTGACTGGCTGATGTGATTGCATTTGAAGAGTTTTCAGAGAATGTCTTATTCAACCATTTCAATGGCGTCTACTAACCTCAACTGAGATAAACTGGGGAAATTTAGTGCTTTATTACTTGCTAAAAATCTAAAAAACCTCAGCTCAAGAGTGTATTTAATAAACTAAACTTGTTATAAATAAATGTTTTCTAATATTTATTTGGAATGTACAATGTATTGTTTATACTGTAGGTCAGTGTCTCGCAGAAGATTTTTAGCTTGAGATTTTTCAGTGAATCACAAAAATTAGCATAACCCAAAACCATTCATCTCCATCATATTGAGTTACACCAGGCATATTCTTTCAAACACTTCCTTTAAATATGCAGTATTAACTTGTTCTCCAGTTATTATTGTGCCATTTTTAGCATTAAATTCATATTCAGCGGAGGAGTTAAGCGGCCGCGTAGGGCCATGGAGAATCAGCGGGTCACATTTCATAGGCGAAACATTTTATTTATGTTTGCGTTTGCATTCTGGAGAGGTTCAGTGGTGTCTTTTTAACGTGTTTTTGCAGCGTTGAGCAATGTAGCCAATCACAGACATATCTGCTGATTTCTTAAATGCAATGGTCAATCAGAGGTGTTTCAGTTAGAACCCACTACGTGTCAAAACACCTGAGTTTTTGTTCAATGTTGAGTAATGAATTCTCTCATTGTAACAAACAAAGCGTAGATACGATGTACATAATAGATTGGTTGTTTAGTGTACAGCAGAGGGCTTCATTGATTATAATGAACATCTATAAATAATGCAGGATTCACTCTCAAAACTTACAGATGATGGTACAAAGATATGGTACGTCAAAGTCACTAATATCAGTAGCACCCCCAGTGTTTTGATTCTGGAACCGTGCCAAAGAATGCTTTAACAAAGTGATTATAAATAACAAAATGATTAAGTGTTTAGTTTTAAATGATTAAATTGGTTGTAAATTAAAGCATTCAATTATAAACACAAAGAAAAATTGAACCTATATTTGTTCTCACAGCATAGATTTTCTTCAGACCCAGCAAACAATAACCTGGCAGTCCACCAGCGTTTTTGGGCGGCAGAAATGTAGCGACTTGACGTGGTCAGACCGCCATCGCTACACCAGTGCCAAGACGATGGTCAGACCTGTGTTTAATTGAGTATACACATACTTTTGAGGCTTATAGGGCCTGTGTTTCATGTCATGATTTTAATCTTAATTTTCTCAAAATGATTTGCTTTGGCACAAACTGCATACAGCTACGGCCAGATTGTCTACTGGGCATGCGCACATAAATATTGCGTCCTTTTTGTCATTATGAACAACAATTAATTACTGTATTTGCAATATTGTAAGGTTAGGGTTGGGGTAGGTGTAATAAAACACAATCTAATAGGTGGCAAATTAAATGTATTGTTATTTTCCAGCCGTAGCTGTATCCATTATAGCCACAACAGTGCTCTTGCATCAGTGTTGGGCAGTAACGCATTACTTAGTAACGCGTTACTGTAATTTGATTACTTTTTTTAGTAACGGAGTAATTTAACGCGTTATAATTTTCAAAATAGTAATTAGAGTATAGTTACAAGCCGAAGTCTCTATTCGTTACTGCCGCCTTACATTTCTGACAGAATGCAGTGTTTTATAATCTAGATATTGTAAAAGGGATGTAGCACACGCACTGTCGAGTCAAGTGCCAGTAGATTAGAGACCTGCTCCCGCAAGACCCGACGCAACAGAGTAGACATTATGAAAGATTCATTATGCATATATTTATTGTGTTATAACAGAGATTTGTGAGATTGCGATGAACTGAGATGTCTTTTAATGCAGCGCTCTTTGCTGGCATTCTGCCATGTCAAACCATGCACGCTATTTCTAACATTTCAACATGATTAATTCTAAAAGATTGAACACCCTTTAACATTAAATGAATGGCACAAGACTAAAATATGTTTAGATGAGAAACATAAATGAATCATGTAGGAAATACGAAAGGCATTTTTGCAAATTCAACAATCCCCCCATTGCCATTTTTTCAGTGTACAGGAGTGCACTGACAGAAAATGTTCACTAAATAATAGATTACATTTTCGGTTTGTTTCTTGGCAAACCCTACCGCATACCTTCAAAACACTTGGAATGACGTGGCTGAATCATTATTTTAAAAGATTGTCAGTTTACTGCCATTAAAAGGACACGTTATCTATGTATGTATTTATTTATTTATTTTGATCCAACAAACAAGGTAATATGTCTTTATAACAACATCAAACTCCAAACTATGAAGAGAGAGAGAGAGAGCAGTTAGTAAGTCGACCTCTGGTCATGTTTACAACATATTTTACTGTAATACTTATATTATTTCTATTTGATGACTTAGAGTGACATATTTAAACTCAATTGCCCTATACATAATATATAAACATACTTTGTCTTTATACATTAAATGTAAAAAGAGTTCACATATATGATATTCAAACAGTACTTTTGTTTTCAGTTGCAAGACAGTTATGCCTCTGAACATTTTCAATGAATAATCAGATCTACAAAAGTCAACAAACATTTGTTTGCCTCTTTGTTCTTTCTCTGTATCTATCATTTCTAGTAGGATGGCATGTGTCCTTTTCTTCACACGTTAGCGTAGACCGCTTCATCTTCCAAGGCTCTGCCAGATGACAGTGGTCTCTTTTCACACTAATTAAAAAAGCAAAATATGTTACAGACATCTCAAGAAAAGTACATTCATTTCAGTAAATACTATCACTTTTAATTATAAATGTTAAGTCACATGCAGTGTTGTTTTATAGTCACGGTTTAGCTTTTCTCTTCAATGTGCTATATTAATAGCTATCTGGTGTGCAAAGTTTTCATTAAGTACATTTTTATTGTAAATAACACAAACAACACTCACATCGAAAAACAACACCTCCAAGAACAGTGAGAAAGTTGTACTCACCCCCCAGTTGTCATAAACTTGACTGTCTGGGCAGTTTGTGTAAATGTCTCCATCACTGCCCTCTTTCTCTTTACTGCTTTTCATAAAATGATAGATACAGTACAAATCATTAGTAAATGTTTTGTTATATAGTTATGTAACAAACATTATATTATACACTACAGTCAAAAGTTTGTTTTAATGTTGTGTTTTATGATATGAGACCTTTCTGCTCACCAAAGCTGAATTTGATCAAAAATACAGTAAAAACAGTAATATTCTAAAACACCATTACAACTATTTTCTATTTTTCAATATATTTTAAAATGTAATTAATTTATTCCCGTAATGGCAAGGACTTTTCAGCAGCCATTACTGCAGTCTTCAGTGTCACATGATCCTTCAGAAATCATTCTAAAATGCTAATTTGCTGAAACATTTCTTACTATTATCAATTCTGAAAACAGTTGTGCTGCTTATTTTAATTATTTTTTTTTATTTGGAATCCACGGTGCATTTTTTTTCAAGATTCTTTGATGAACAGACCGTTTCAAAGAATAGCATTTATTTGAAATAGAAATCGCCCGTAACAAAATGACTTTTCAACACTTTAAATCACCCTTGCTGAATAAAAGTATTAATTTCTTTAAAAAAGTTACCCCAAACTTTTGAATGATAGTGTACCACAGTTTCCACAGAAATATAAGCAAAAATGTTTTTCAACATCGACAATAATAAGGAAAATATTTCTTGAGCAGCAAATCAACATATTAGAATGATTTCTGAAGAATCACGTGACACTAAAGACTGCGGTAATGATGCTGAAAATTCATTTTTAAAAGAGACTTATTTCAAAAACATTATACAAATGAATGATTCCAAAACTATTACTGGTAATATATATACTTTTCTAAATCAGACTTGTTTTGGGTTGTCTTCATTTGAGTCTGTTCATTCTTCATTACAGGTTGTTGTGCAGCTCTGTTCCGACTGAAATAAAAGAGGGATTTTAATGTTGTCAGGAAACAAAGGAGGAACAAGACAGATGGAATAACAAGACACACTAAATGAGAAAGTGATGTGTAGCTTACGAGAGAGATCCTTACCAGCGTCTTCTCACAACACACACACCAATGCAGACTAAAACAACTGCAACAGCTGATGCAACAGCAATGTATATTATGCCTGTTAAAAAAACAACCAAACAATAAAAATTGCATTAAAACAAAGATAGTGTTTTTAAAAGACCGAATATGAAGTCTCACCATTTTGAGGTGCTTCCAAAGTTATGGAAGAGCTCCCCAGACTGTTATTGGCAAAACACTGGATAGTCTCAGGGAAACCCAGCCAACCCTGTAAGGTGAATATGGTAAGAGACTCATTTTGTTTAATGCTGGTGCTGGAGAAGGCTTTCGAGGAATCTGGACCAAACCACTTGACTTCACTGGGAGGGTTGGAGTCCACAATACAGACACACGTCGTCAAAATCTTAGACTGGCAAGAAGATTCACTTTTAATCTCAGGAGGATCTAGACAGACAGATACCATAAATTATAAACAATTATCTTCTTTCACTAAAAATACCAGTTTAAACTGTTGAACCGATGCCTTACACAATATATTAATTTTCTGTGGACCAGAACTGTTTTTTCCTTCTGTGTTAATGGCTGTACAGGAAATGGCCTCCGTATGTCGAGACACTTTCTCCAGTTTGTAAGTGGGGTTCTCTGCTAACCTCTTCCCATTTGAGCTGAACCACTGGTAGCTGTTTGCAGGAGGATTGCTGTTACTGGAGCAGTTCAGTTCCACAGAGTCATTCTCCTTCACTGAGTATTTAGTGACCACGTTTACATTATATGGAGGATCTGATTGACAAAACATTTTTGATAAGTTATTTTTACATTTGTCTGAAGTTCATGCCACATTCTGATACAGTTGATCAACTTAATTCACACAATTTGTGGCATAATATTGTAATGTGGTGTTTTGGGTTGTGTTTCTTGTTCATTTTTTCATGTCTTTTATTTTGTAGTTTGATTCCTGCTGTTAGTGTCATGCTTCCCTTGCCTCATGTCTCTTTAGGTGCGTTCGACTTCATGCCGCGCCGCGCAAACCGATCGGCGGCTGACTTGAAGCAGTGCATGCCGGTTAGAAATTTTGTCCGACTTGAACCGGCGCCGACTCTACGTCACTGTCACGTGTGGCATCAAAGTACCGCGATATCGTTTCGAGCATTTAAATAGTATATATTTACGTTGAACTTTATTCTTGAAGAGATGGCGCTGTATTAAGCAGTATATAAAAAGTGTTTCTGTTGCTCATGAAAACGTTTCTGAAACGTCTGTGTATTTGACAAATATGGCATTTAATTCACTTCATCGGTGATATTCAGTGGACTGAATCGTTACAGAATACACAATCTCATAATGAACCCAGCAGATCATCTTGTTCGCCTCCGTCAAGGTAATCGCTCCACTGAGGAGTATATGGCAGACTTTTGTGAACTTTACTATCCAGTCGACTTCAATGATACTTTCTTAAAAGACATTTTTCGTTTTGGTTTAAGTAAAGACATGCCACGTTTAATGCCACGTAATACCCCACACTGGTCACTTGAACAATACATTGATCATGCTCTGCTGTTGTGCGGCTCATCGTACACTGTGGGTTTTGCGGATAAGGAGCCCCGCAATACTACAGTGCCCACCACACCAGAGCCTCTTCACATCCCGACCGTCATGTCTGGAGTTGTTCACGTCACGCCTGCTACTCCAGGGTCTGCT